CCCAAATAAGGACATTTATTTTCTGATAATAATAATATTCATCAGTAAAAAATTAGCGAATATCTTGCCTGTTATAAATAAACCTTCTAAGTGTCTTTGAAGTATTAATGTTTCTAACAAATACATGTTCTTTCATTGATCTTCAGATCACTCGTTTGCATGGGATTCTGTCATTTTATATTCTCCTCTAATAGTTTTGTTACAATTTTTTTCTCTCACTGTCAACCTTCTACATTCCCTCGACTTAAATACATTCCATATACTGATACATGTACATGTGTAGCCCTATAGTACATTCACTGTATCACTGTCATCCTGTTGTTCATTGATTTACTCGAGCAGGAACCAGTAATGTCCCCCTTCATCACAGCCCTGAGATTTTAGCAGCCTCTCCTTACTTGTCTTTCCCAATGCTGCTGTATTGGAGGCTCTTTCAGGGTCAGGGGAATGAGACCCATTATTGTTACTGTTTTTTGGCATATTGAATACACCACGGGCAGCTTGCCAGGCTCTGCTGTGAATTCTTTTTTTTTTTTTTGTCATTTCTAATAAAACATTTAATTAAAAAGTTTAATGCAGGCAAATACTGTTTTAATCCTTAAAGTAAATTTAAAAATCAGGATAATACTGGGTAAAGCATAGAAACATAGCAAAAAATAGATGGTATATATCTTATTTGCAAATTGGTAAGTGTAACACATTGTCCTTTTCCATTTCTTTTTTTTTCCCCTTTATTTTATTTTATTTTTTTTAAAGTTGTAGATTTACAATTTTTTGTGCTTTGGTTTCAATTATACAATGATCAGATACCCATCCCTCCACCAGTGCCCATTTTCCACCACCATGGATAATATCCCTCCCACCCCCATCCCCCCATCCCCCCTGTCTCTATTACTTCTGAGTTCTCAAATCTAACAGAACCATAATTTGCAATCCTATTAGAAGATACTGAGACTCCCTATAATTTGGTTTATGTCTATTCCCTTTAATCATTCTGTTCTCTCCATATGGATTTTTGTTTCTTTATTGAACACTAGAGAGCTCTTTCTGACATAAGCCTTTAAACCCGTAGGTCTAACTCAACACTTCTTCCAAGTTTTCTTGATTCCTTGTTTTCCTTATTTGGTATCAACCAAGTTATCTATTTCTGAGTAGATGCCACTTGCCCATTTTGAATAATTACTTTTACCTACCTTATATACATATTGTAAGTGATATTTACCAGTTATAGTCATTGTATTTCTTGATTGTGTTTTATTAAAATGCTAATGCTATGAGAACTGAATTGTCAACCTGTTTTATTTTGTTTGTTTTGTCTGTTTTGGTCATACTTATTGGTGGTCAGGACTTTCTTCTGGCTCTGGATCAGGATCACTCCTGACTAACTCAGGTAACCTTATGGAGTGATGGGGCTAGAATGGCAAGATACTCTCAGTAGCTTGCCGGGCTCTCCAAGAGGGGCGGAGGAATCGAACTCGGGTCGGCCATGTTGGCTGCGTGCAAGGCAAAAACCCTACCACTATGCTATGTTTAAATTTAAATAGCCCTATGCTATGTTTAAATCTCGCCTGCACAGCAGAGCCTGGCAAGGTACCCGTGATGTATTCTATATGCCAAACACAGTAACAAGTCTCATGATAGAGACGTTACTGGGCCCACTCGAGCAAATTGATGAACAACGGGAGGACCGTGACCGTGACTGTGACCTGGGTAGAATCCAGGTCAGCCGCATGTAAGGCAAGTGCCCTACCTACTGACCTAAATCTCCTCATTCTGCATGCCCATTTTAAGTTCAATGCCTTATGTAGAACCATGCACATGGTGGGAAATCAGTTAATATTAGTTAAATATTTTGAAGAAATAATGTATTTTCAAAACAAACTATTACTTTAAAAGCATTATTCCTAACCACTAGTCTAGTAACTCTGATTCTAAAAGAACAACAGGGCTAAAGTTTAGTGATGTCCAACGCAAGTGCCAGAAGAAAATGTTTATGACTAATGCATAGTCATTTTTTTAGTCATTGTTGATAATAAGCAGCATTTTAAATATCATTATTCATGTAAAGATAGGATAAGAGAAAGACTTATTAGCTCTATAACGAAAGGTGACATTTCGGTAGGGGGTCACGGTCATGGTCCTCCCGTTGTTCAACCCATGTGGGCTAGATACTCTCGGTAGCTTGCCGGGCTCTCCGAGAGGGGCGGAGGAATCGAACTCGGGTCGGCCATATTGGCTGCATGCAAGGTAAACTCCCTACCGCTGTGCTATGTAGGGGGTAGGCCTTGGTTTACAACTAGTAGTACTCAGAAGGTAATCTTGGTTCCATATTCAGAAGTGACCCTGAATGGTGCCTGTGGGATAATATATGGTGTTTTAGATTAAATTTCAGCCACAAGCAAAGCAAGATTCTTAGAATGGTGATATTTTATAGAAAAGTATTAATAAATGCCCTTAATATCTAACACAACAATAATGCTCTGTGCTATGTAGGAAGGGATCACCTTAGTCTTTCTATTAGATTTGAAATATGTTCCTACTTCTCTTTCCTCTATTATCCCACACAGTTACTGAATTAATAAATTATTGCTTATAAAATACCGTTTCTTAAATCTTTTCAGACTCAGTAGTGCAGTGTATTCTTTTTTCAAGTGTCCCAGCTTGGCAGTGCTAATACAATACCACAACCTCTTACCTCACAGGTCACATACACCTATCAGCAGTCTGACATGAGAACAAATCAAAACTTTCTTTTCATCTCCAGAAGAACTGACTTAGGAAGGGTCTGATCCAAGACATTCAAGGTGAATATTTCAGTAAACTTGTATGAAGTAGGACTTTATGCTTTTCTAAACTGAATTTCAATCATCTCCTCCTGATAGGCTTACAAAGACAAACCTCAAAAGTGGCATTCTATTTAATATTCTTTTATAGTCCTAGAATGTAGTCCTAAAATTGAATAATTGGAGATTTGCACACTTATATAAAGATTAAAGACTGAGTTTCATTTTAACATGAAAGATAAAATTAAGGTGGAGTTATTTTCCTCATCACCTTGTAAAGAAAATGGCTTTGAATCCAATGAGACAACACAATAAGTCCTCCACTAAAGTGCCTCTATAAGCTTAATTTGGGGCAATACTAATTTTTAATGAATTTTTCCATAATATATTTTTCTTATTTATCAATCAGAAACTTATTACTTATAGAAGGGATTTCCATCAATTTTTCTCATTTAAATATCCATAAAACAAATTTGAATGCATACCATTTGACAGGCGTTAACCATTTCTGAACTATATACATTTGCCCCTACATTACTGCATATCTTCTTTGCAAAAAAAATAGTAATAACAGAATGATACAGAATAAAACTGCAGGACTAGAGGGATAGGGCAGTAAAGAAGGTGCCTGCCTTGCACAGGGCTTACCTGGTACGTGGGCTCAGACTTGGCCCCACAAATGGTCTCGCAAGCCCCACCAGAAGTGCTCCCAAGGACAGAGTCCAGAGTAATCCCTGAGCGCAGTCAGGTATGGTAAAAATTAATGATAATAATTTCTAATAATAAATATTGGAATCCTAACAACTAAGCTCACATAAATATGAATTATGTACAAAAATTATTTGAAATATATCAATGACTGACTTTAGAGTACTTTAACATATAAAACTCAGTACTGTTCTTAAGTATATTTTTTGATTTAGCGTGCTAAAATATTTCTACAAAATTTTTCTTAGATTAAAATAAAATTACATACTTATATAATCTTTATAAAGTGATGACTTTTTATCCCAAATTAAAAATATAGATTTTATTCCAAACAACATATGCAGAATGAAGGCTGTCTTTGTAACACAATGTTTCCATTTAATTTCATAGTTCAACTGAGTCAGTTTTTGATTGTGAGCTTCATGTCAAGTATTGAAATTAACAGCATAGATACCACTTTTTGACAACTATCTCCAAAATACAAAAACATTAATTTTAGAAAATATATGCATGTATATGTTGATCACCACACTTAGTACAATAGTCAAGATATGGAAACAACCCAGATGCCCAACTACTGATGATAAATCAAAAGTTGTGGCATATGTACAAAATAGAATACTATGCAGCTCTAGGAAAGAAGAAAACCATGAAATTTGCAGCAATGTGTATGGAACTAGAGGACATCATGCTGAGTGAAGTCTGTCATAAGGAAAGGGACAGATACAAAACAATCTTTCTCTGTGAGTTACACAGAAAGATAGTAACAAAGGTACTAAAGAAACATAATGATAGAACTGATCTACACAGCTAGGTTGAGGAGAGGGTTGAGAGGGATAGGTGTTGGGGTCCTTGGAGGAAGGATATGGATATATTATTGATGTGTGTGGTGTTTTATTATGTGCATGAGAAAGCATTATTAGTAGTACTGTAAACCAAAGAGTCTCCATCAATAAAATATAAAACCATCATAAGCTCTCTTAATTAAATAATACTGCTAAAAATAAAATGGAATTAGCAAGTTATATATAGCTAAATGACAAGATGATATGCAAGATTTAATATGAATTTGAACCCAAGAAACTAGTAATAGTAATTTCAGGCAAACAATTTTTGGAAAATGCAGCTAAACCTTCATTGGAAAGTTTCTGGTAGATGGTGACGACATCTTTAATGCTCTGCTATGTGATCTCTTTAAAGATTGTACTAGTATCTGTGTATAAAGTCTTTGTTTGAGACAAACTTCATAATATGGTTCTTATTATTCATTGAAATTTTAGTCTTTTTTCACAGATATTGTCCACATTGATAATGCACTACTGCACATGAACTCTTCTTGAAAATCACTCAATGAAATATATCTAACATATGAGAATTAAATAACTTATCCTAAAACTGAATTTTAGGTTATGATTATCAAACAAGTTTAATAAATTTATCCCATATAATGGAAAGTAAATTTTAGTGATTACTATCAAGTATTCAAATAAATATCAGATCAGCACTTACCTGGATAACGTGCTTCAGTTTATCGATAATCTGATTGATCACAGGATCAGATCCTTTGACTCTGACTTCAGGATTCCCAGATTGGGCTTTAATTCCATTTCCAAACACACGTTGAGTATAGCTAAACAATGGGAAAAAAGGACAAAAAAAGAAGACTGATTAGGTAATTTTGTCAGACTATTATTTTTGCATTCTTAATTTCACACCTTTAGAAGTATAAAAATGTACTCTTGTTCTTGTAAAAGACTGGAAATTGCAATATTATTTCCAGCAAAATAGTTAGTTAATACAGACGAGTTTAATTCTTTTTCTCAAAGGAGACAACTAAAAGTTAATTAATTTCAATACAAATTAATAATAACCTAATAGAGTTGATATACATCTTCATTTCCAATTCTTTATAGTTTATACAATACATGTTTCTATGTTATCTGAGTGAGCTTACTTCATTTCATACATTTACAGGTGAGTTCTAATATTTTTTACACATTAGGCTACAGTATAACTTTCTGTCGTCATGTACACATATAGGTATATATATATATATATGCATTTATGTACACTAATGCAGAAGTCTAAATCATAACACTAAAACCAACTAAAATTGGCAAAATCTTTTACAAGTAGAAGAAACTAGACCTATTTTCACTGAGGTTTACCCAAACCAGGGTCTTATAAATCATATTTGTATGAGATGATTTCATAAGCAGTGTGCAAGTCTTTGAAGATCACTACCATCCCCAAATCATATAAAATAATGCGACCCATATAAATATTCAAATTAATGTCTGTAACATATATTAGGTGTTTCCTACTATATTCAAGTCCTGTAGTAGGTAATTGTGATTATGAGTTACAAGGCACAATTCTTATCCTCACAATGTTTGTTACATACCAGTGCATGCAATATATCAATTAAATTGCTCATTTATACACTCATTCAATATATGTTACTATATTTAAAAAATACCAAATCACATGCAGGCAAATACAGTGTTCAAGTACAACTCTAGGGATGAAGGGGATGTCGGTATATTATGGAGGTAAATGGAGTTGTAAATGCCAAGTAAGAGGTAAAGTAAAACAGGTAGTATATGCTGAACATATTGAGAAGTCTATTTGAACTAAGACACAGTGATAGTACTAAAGGGAGTTACTTTAAAATATGCCTTAAAGTATTAATGTTAGAATAAGTCTTAGATGATGCAGTGAATGCAAATTCATGAAATAGGACAAAACCTCCACAAAGGAAATAACAAAAGTACTAAAATAACACAACACAAAAGAAAGAATAACTAGTCTTTTATTTACAAATACTGAAGAGATGGTAGGGAAGAAAGAGGCAAGAGACCAAACCTTGAATATTTCATCTTTTTTGTTTGATTTTTACCTGAGCAATTTTTTACACTAACTTATCACAGTAGATTTTCAAGGTTTTGCAGAAATAATTTTTACAGTATTTTACTGCATTTTTCTATCCTCTATTTAAACAACACAGCTCAGTGGAAAGTAAAAAGCATGCTCTTTTTAAATAAATCTTGCATCAATAAAGAAATCTAAGGAGAAATGAAAGTACCTATAGAAAACATAAATAAAGATACAAGCTATCAGGAAGGGTGGGATAAATTAAAGGAACTTTATAAGGAAATATTGTTGCAATACTGGCCCACATTTGTAACTAGAAAAAATCTAAAATAAACATTCCAACCATAAATCTTATGAAACTAGACATAAAAAGAATCAAAGGTCACTTAAAATCAGCAGAAAGAAGCAGAAACACAAAGAAAAAATAAGAAAATGGGAACAGGAACCAAAAAGGCAATGCAAAAGGTTTATGTCACCAAGAACCGGCTTTTTGAATGAATCCATAGTAATTGTAATTCACTCTTTAGGATCATCAAGAAAAAAAATGGAAGAAAACTCTGATAAAAGAATTAGACATGAAAGAGAAGTTACAACCAACATTATAGAAAAAAATCATGATATACCTCTAAACATTTGTGTGGAAACAAATTAGTCAAATTCCAAGACCAAACCAAGAAAATAAAAAGGAAATTGGAACAAACTTATCATAACTCAAAGCAATAATCAGAACTCTAGTCATATAAGCCAAGATTCAGATGACTTCATTAGAAAAATCTACAAATCTAAAAGGGATGAACTTAACAAAAACATTCTACAACATCAAAATAACTTTGCTTCCCAAATTAGGAAAATGTAGTACATGAAACTAAAGCTATAGACTTAAATCTCTGAAGAACATAGATACAAAAATTTTCAACAACATATTGGCAAAGTGAATCCAGCAACATATTAAAGAATCAGTCACATGTTCAAATAGTATTCACCCAGGGAGGCAAGATAAGTCAACAAACACAAATCTATTAATGTAACATATCACATCAAGAACAACAACAGAATAACAGAAATAGATTCTTAAGAATCACTTCTCATGAGGCTAGAGAGATAGTACAGGGGATAGAGCTCTTGTCTTGCACATGGCCAACCTGGATTTGATTCCCAGCATCCCATGTGGTTCCCTGAGCACCACCATAAGTGATTCCTGAGTTCAGAGCCAGAAATAACTACTGGGAAGCACCAGATATTGTCCCCAAACAAAAAGAAAACTGACAAATCTTTTTTCATAAGACATAATATCCATTTGTGATTTAAAAAAAATAACAAATCAGAACTACAAAACAAACTTACCATGACTAATTAACAAATGTATAAACATACATGGTGATGAAAAACTGAAACCTTTTTCTCTTCAGATCTGGGACAAAACAAATATGCCCATGGCAAACAATACTTTTAAACATAGTTTAGTGGATTCTGGTTAGGAAAATAAGAATTTCAAACTAGAAAATCACAAAACTCTCGAACAAGACAAACAAAAATGGGGTGACAGACTTGAATAGACACTACTTTTAAGTAAACAAATAGATGAGCCATTTATACTAAACAATCTTCCTATATCAATTATTGTTAGGGAAATGTTAATCACAATCATTACAATCATTATGAAATATGAAGCAATAACATCATGGCCTTGAGGATTTTACATGTAAAACTTTGAAATGACAAATGCTGGCAAGAATGTGAAGGGGCTATGAACGCTAGTACACTGCTGGTGGGGCTGTATATTGGGGGTTAGTCTATCTCTATAGAAAATTATATGGATAATCCATTAAAAATAAAACTAAGGGGCCAGAGAGATTGTGCTTGTCTTGTCTTGTATGTGGCCAGTCTAGGTTTTGTCTCAGGCAGCCATTTGGTCCCTGAGCACTGCCAGGAGTAATTTCTGAGTGCAGAGCCAGTAGTAAGCCCTCAGCTTTTCTGAGTGTGGCCCACAAACAGAAACAACTCCCCCCCAAAGATTTGTGAAATTCAGTATGATCCAATAATATCTCTTCTAAGTATTATCGAAAGATAAACAGGGGTGTTTGGCAGGAATCAATAGAGAGTTCTTTTATTTACATGTTAATATAATTTAATGCTAACTTTAATTAAGGTATCATGGCTGACAAAGCTGTTAATAACAGACTTCCAATCATCTTATCCTGTCAACAGTGTTTGCATTTGATTGTGGTATGATAAAAGGACGTTGGAGGTTGGAGTGGTATATATTAGACATATATATATATATATTTGTACAGTTAAACCTAAACTTTCATAAAACAGTGATAAATTAAAACTGTCACACTGTCACTGTCCTCCAGTTGTTCATCAATTTGCTCGAGCAGGCCCAGTAACGTCTCCATCGGAGACTTTGTTGTTACTGTGTTTGGCATATCGAATACATCACGGGTAGCTTGCCAGGCTCTGCCATGCAGGCGAGATACTCTTGGTAGCTTTCCGGGCCCTCCAAGAGGGGCAGAAGAATTGAACTCGGGTCAGCCATGTTGGCTGCGTGCAAGGCAAACACCCTACCGCTGTGCTATCACTCCAGCCCCAACAGCAAACTATATACTTAACCAAAATGCCTAATAAAGCACATTTTTACAACACTGTGAGGAGAAAGTATTTCTGCGACTTAAAGGACAGTTATCGGGGCTGGAGCGATAGCACAACTGGTAGGGCATTTGCCTTGCACGCAGTCAACATGGCCGACTCAAGTTCGATTCCTCAGCCCCTCTCGGAGAGCCTGACAAGCTACCCGTGATGTATTCAATATGCCCAACACAGTAACAAGTCTCATGATGGAGATGTTACTGGGCCCCCTCGAGCAAATTAAAAATAATAAAATTTTTTAAAAATTGAATCCTTTACAGTATATATGCATTTTAAGATAAATAAAATATTGACATAAAAATCTCCTCAATATAAAAAAATCCATATTGGTCATTTTCACCTGAGGTAAATGGTTTTGTCATCACTAAATGAACAGTAATTCCGGATTCTGATATATATATATATACAACTATATATATATATATAATGTATATATATATCCTTATTCCCTGAAATGCTAATGTTAATTTGCATGCAAAAATATGGGTCCTAAATTAAATAAAAATTTTCCAACAAAAACTTTTTATTTGACTTTCTCTCATTATGAAATTTTAATAAATCATTAATCACCCATTTTCCTCCCTAATGCACAAGTAATGGGTGAAACATCTCAAAGATTTCTACAGAGGTTTCTTAACATGAAAAACTGCTCAAATTGCAGTGAGAGGTAGGAAACAAAACACACCAAAAAATAGAGGCAAATTTTTTTGTTACAGAAGTAATAGACCCACCATCTGTGCTTATTTCTTCTAAGCAAGTCTGGTAATGGATGACAGCAGTTTAATAGGAATACTCATTCCCCAAGTACAACTCATTTTTCATTAACACAGAAAAAAAGGCAAACACAGTTATATTTGCATTCTATAAAAATATTTTAGGATGGTGATTAACAAGATCCCAGTTCTTTTTCTGTTGAACATATGAAATATTAAAAATGTACCAGTAAGTCTATGCCACCAGAATGGATATGTCATCAAGAAGTCATTTCCCATCCTGATCTTACCAACATTAGTAAATAAAATACTCAATATTGGCTGATATTATTTTCACTTTAATTAGAATGCAGTGGACTAGTTTTTTAGATCTACATTAAATAATTTTGTGTTA